ATGATATCTCATCTTTAATTTATATTATTGCCATGCATATATCTCAATGCACAGCTAGGATAGCCCATCCCATTTGCTTTAAATTTAATTTTCATATATATTTATCTCCGGCCAATACTAAATCCAAATTCCATTAATTTCATCTTAGGTGGAGCTAACATATAATGCACACTGCCTCTGCTTGCTAGCTACATCACTGCAGCAGCGATGTGCAGTGGTACCAACTCATTTCTTCCTAGCTAGTAGTGGAGCCCGGCCTGTAGTACTGTACTGATGATCCACGACCCAACTTGCATGGCGTATATATGTGTTCGTGATCAAATCATATATAGTATCTAGTTGTGTTAGGAATAACCGCTTACCGCTACGCCAAAAAAGTTATAGTTCGTAGTGGAAACATGGCTTTTTTTTCTTGTACTATCACATTTTCGAGAAGCATGGTGTTGAACTGAGCTATTCAGGCTCCACCCAACAATCTTTAACCACCCATTGTTGAATTTGGTCCTTCACTAGTCTCTGCCCAACAAGTTGCCACCACAGAATATATCACTCAAAACTACTATAGCTAAAAAAACACTCATATGTTGTGTAAAGATTTGTATATACCTAATATTAATTTTTGTCAATTTCAAAACTAATCTTTTAATTTAAACCAGCAAATATACATCTCAAAAGTGTAAATAAATAATAAAAACACACAATAAATCATTAATTAATTAGTCAATGGAACTAATAAAACTAAAGCATGCATATATCTCAAATTTGGAGATTTTTTAAATTAAATTGGATACTTGATGCCCTCCATTATTAAAATATTGATAAAAGAAATAAGCTACATATACAAACTACTACATCAGATAGTACCATAATCTAAGCCCCTAGGGCTCAAACCCACCACCTCCCACATAAGGGAGCAACTTGGTACCAATGGACCACAAGGTCTTTGGTTACTTTGAGTTCATTTAATATAAACATAATAGATTAAAATTAAAAAGACATGGAGGGGGCAAAAAGTGTATTTTATCCCTATTATATTAATATATATACATACATATTTACTAAAAATTTTGGGGTTGAAGGGGCCAAGACCCCCTGATAAGGAATATTCCCCAAGTATACTGTATACCTCCCTCTACGTACTGTGTACCTGCTCGGTATTCGGTCAAGTCACCGAGAGGAATCATTCCTGACATTGACCGATCATTACCTTGATATTCCCGACCTAAATGGTACAACCGAGCTAAAATCACGGTCGTAGTAGTACTTCGTTGTCTTGGGACCATAGGTCGGGAAGGTTATCCCGAGTAGGGTTGCTTGAGGATTTGGGCCTAGGCTCCTAACTTTAACCCGACCACTTCATTCCGTGGGTGGTCAGAAATATCGCTATACGTGGCTAACAGGGCACTGTTCCCGAACCAACCGATTGCATGTGTGACACATGGCGGGAGCCCAACATGCATGTGTCGCCCTTTCTTAGCTATAAATACTGCATTTAATGCTAGAAGGGAGACTTTTTTAGCCCGTCTACCTACTACGATATAGCTCGGGACCCTCTTGTTGGATATCCGTTGGTGAAAAACAAATAATAATCCCATAAAATAAGATTATTATTTTTCTGGAAAAAAAAAGGGAAGGAAAGATGGAGAATTTGGCTAGTGTTTGGTGTTGGGTTGTTAGCAAGAGTCAAGCGATCACTCTTTCCTTAAAACCTGATTTGCCACCTCCCAAAAGTGCTAGGAGCGTGTTAGCCTAGGCTTCCCAGGATAAAACTTACTGTGATTCAATGTTTGAGCACCAAAACAAGGAATCCGGCGAACAAAGCAAGATTATGAACACACTATGGCTAAGAAAGAGTAGGAGCATAGAGTTTTGAGGCTGAAAAAAAAGAACTTTCTTGTTGTGTATAAATCTCTACTGCCCAACTCCTTCTTATATAGGGGTGGGAGATTAAATAGCTTTTAATAGGCACTTAAGGACACCCATCCACCTTCCTGTAACAGCAACCATTAACCTGGGTTTCAATTCAAAAAATTAAAATTGGAATTAATTCAAAGAATTAACTCCGTAACAGCTGAATTGACCACCCAACGGTCACAACAGGACAGGTTCGTGCAGGCCGAAACTTTCAGTTTCCACCACCCGGGCGAAACTGGAAGTTTCGGCCATGGGCCCTATCCAGTCTCGGCCTCCAAAGCCCAGCAAAGCCGAAACCACATAAGTTTCGGCCACATCCAGTGGCGTGTGTTGGAAAAATGATACCGAAGTTTGGCATAACTTATGCCCGCAGGTGCCGACGCACACGAGCTCGGGCTTGAATCAATGTGGGACAAAAGCTCACTTTTTCCCTTCATTTTTCCAACTCAAATGGGTCTACTTTGAGAATCAATATCTCATTCACCCATTATCCGTTTTGAGCGTACAATATATCAATCTCTTCGTCTCACTACGAAGAATCCGAATCCACTTTGACCCGATCCAAATCGGAAGTGGATCCCACTGATAATTGTACTACAAAATAGCCACATAACATGCCATTTTAAGCTATTTTTTCCAACACCTCTGACCTCACGTCTTAACTCGAGCTCGAGACTTAAATCAACAAGCAGACTATAACAAAACCTGAATACGATCCGACCTATCATTCGTACTTATTTGGGACTTCACAACGTATTTATGTTATCACCCCTACCCCCAAATGTAACTCCACCCCTGGTAATATATATCATATATGATAGATCGAGAGTAAATTAGACTAGGGTAGAGGTTTAGAGTTACGTTATGTTACATGATAAAGAACAGGAGATGAGAGAACGAGTATTAATAGGTTAAATAAGAGGTGATTGGTTGCTAGCTCGATCAGGAACTTGGAGTTGTCCTATCAATCTATAGTACGAGTGCTACTATATATAAGTGATAGTATGAAGTAGGAGATGATCAGAGTATATTAATTCCTATATATGGTAAGAAAGTTATGATCTGACACTATAATTACTGTAAGAAAATTAGTTCCTAGCTACTACATTTTGCACAACCATAATGGTATATCTGATGCAGATCATCATCCCCAAGCTGATGATCTACCAATCCCATATATATTAACTAGAGGTGGATAAAACGTGATTATCGTATCTATCTAAAGATCATGAATTTGATTATTGTCAACATCTTTTCGGTCAAGTTTATTGTGCAAAGTTTTCATAGTGTGATATGATTTACCTTTAATGTATGATTTGTGGGCCATAACACAATAGTAAGGTTTATCCGCTGTACACCATTGATTAATAGTCGTAGTTCTCCTTATCACGCACCCAAAAAGGCGAAGAATATTATATACATACACTTCTCAATTCATGACTAGGAAAACAACAACCATTCGAAAACGAAGAATATTATATACATATATACACTTCTCAATTCACAATTGAGAAAAAATCTTATCAACTTGTAGTCCCAATTTGGATGAAGAGTGCCTTATAATCTTAGTTCACAAAGGTCCAACTTACCAAAAAGCAATCGTTATGCCATGGAACCGTGTTCACCATGTCCCAACAGTGTTAGTGCACCGTTACCTTCTTCTTCTTTTTTTTCCTTAATTAATCGCGTGACTTTTCTTCTTCATTTTCACATTTCGCGGTTTCATTTTAATTTGAGGTGAGCAATGATTTCGGACATTCATAAATTATGAATCCATGCCTACACATTCACTTTGGAACCATGCCTACACATTCCCGTCCGAAACCATGGCTGCTCCTCTGTAGCGCAAGCTTCTTCAACATTCATAAATTATGAATTTTCTGTTATGAAATTATGAATTTTCTGTTATGAGATTAGAATTTTCTGTTATGAGATTATGAATTTACCGTAAATTCATAATCTCATAACAGAAAATTCATAATTTAATAAATGTTTTTCTTTTATGCGATTATGAATTTACCGTAAATTCATAATCTCATAATAGAAAATTCATAATTTAATAAATGTTTTTCTTTTATGCGATTATGAATTTTCTGTTATGAGATTATGAATTTACAGTACATTCATAATCTCATAACAGAAAATTCATAATCTGACCAAACGCGCGCCGTTAACACCACATTAGCATTTTTTTTTAACGTAAAAACGACGCCGTTTGGACCCGTGTTCACCATTCATGGTGAACACGTTTCCAGGGCATAATTTGCGACCAAAAAGCTAATTAAGATGTTTGGTAAATAATTTTGTTAGTTAATAGTTGTTAGCTAATTGGGTTAGTTGGTTTGACTAGTTGATATTATTAGGTGATTGTAGAAAAATGTTTGATAAATTAATGGTTAGCTGACAGATGATTACATGCAAAATGACTTATTTAAAAAACTACTTTTAGCAGCTTTTTAAATTTTAGCATTTGAAGCAATAAGTTGTTACATAAAGTTAATTAATTAAACACTTATATTGGTTGTTTAACCAAGTCAAACAGCTAATAGTAGTCAACTAGTCGCTAACTATGTTACCAAACAGAGCCATAAATAGTCCGATCTTATCCATAGTTAAACTTAGAATCTAGCTTGTGATTATTTAGCTAATTGTTTGATGAACGTAATTTAATTTGGATTATATATATATATATATATATATATATATATATATATATATATATATGTTTCTGTTTGTATGCTGTGTGGCTGACACAATGGGAGATGAGGCTAGCTAATCCAAGAATTATACTACACTGTTCTACAATCTCATAATAATTTTGTAGAATTTGTATACATATATAAATAATATTTAAAAAATGCGGGATGGAAAAACTGAAACGTTTGAAGATAGGGTTGTGTACATTTGGTTCTGATCTGCTCTTCTCCTTTTTCTTCTCTTGTCTCTTTTATTTCGTTTCTTTGGTTGTCATGAAGTCACGTGAACATCTAGCCCCCACACTCTCCACAAAAGACTAATTTTACAACTGTATCTCTGTCTCTGTGTATATATACACACTCATTACCCCCCCTTTAAAACACTACTTTTATTTGCAACTATCCTGCACCCATATATCTTCCTTCAATTCAATTCTCTGATCATAAACCCAAATCTCTGAATTCTATTGGTCTCTCTTCCCCATGATCCCTACTTACATGACTTCTTCTTCATCTTCTCCTTTCCCTTTTGACCTCAATTACACCACTGCAGATCAGTATGATGATGATCAAAACCCCAATCTTTTCTTTACTTCATCATCAAACTATCAAGCTGCAGCTTCTTCATCTTCCAATAATAATCACCCTTCATCTTCCCATCTTTTCTTGAACTATGATCCTCAATTTTACCAGCCACCGGCCCCAAACGCGGTATACTAATTACTCGATCTCTTTAATTTGTCTCTTTTGTGTTGTCGCTGGTTAGGATAAGCGCTTATGGCTAGTAGCTAGCAAAGGAGAAATTTTATTTTCTTGTACTTGCATAACAGATTAATTGGATGCTGGACTTGGCTGTCTGAGTTGTAGTAGTGTCCAGCATCACTTTAGTTTTGATTTTTGAGAAAGCTAGCTAGGTTTATATGATCATATTATTAAATAGTTATGTTGTTTTTAATTTGATTTGTAGTATTGATGTTTTAATTGGTTTCTTGGATCATGTGTACAGAATGATAATTGGGGATCATATGATAATATGGAGGCCAAGAAAGGGCAGGCAGAAAGTGGGCATAATAAGTGGAGGAAAGAAGAGGAGAAATATGAGAATGAAGGTGAGAAAAGTCCAGAGAAAGTGATGATGATGCCTGCAAAGATGAAGTTGGTGAAGAAGGTGAGGAGTAGTTCAGATCGCGCAAACATGGAAGTGGTGAAAATTAATGTTAGTGCAACGAAGATTGAAGATCATCATCAAAAGGGGCCATCATTATCTTCTTCCTTGGAAACTGATCACAGCAGCCACAGCTCCTCCTCCAACAATGGCGGAAATGGAAATAATAATAATAATAATAATGTCCTCATAGTTAGGGTTTGTGCGGATTGTAACACCACCAAGACCCCTCTTTGGCGAAGTGGTCCTAAAGGCCCCAAGGTATAGTAACAACAATCATCTCATCCAAACCTCATCAATATAAACAATTCTTCATTTCTGAGTGATCGTCACAACCTAATCTTCATTTTTATTTTGTTCTTGTTCTCTTAATAATTAGTCACTCAATCTATAATAAGAGAAACTCATCTTCGTTTTTGTTTGGTAATAATTAGTCGCTCTGCAACGCGTGTGGAATAAGGCAAAGGAAGGCGAGACGAGCCATGGCGGCGGCAAATGGCGGCGCAAACGGAACCGCCCCATCTTCACCGTCAACGTTAAAGCTGAAGGTGCAAAAGACGACGGTGGCGAAGAGCAATAATAACTACCCAAGTCATCATCAACAACCATTGAAGAAACGGTGCAAATTCGTGACGGCGGCGGAAGCGTCAGCAGCGCCGTCGTCAAGCGACGCCGCAAAGAACGGCGTGGAGGATTTCTTGAAGAAGCTAAGCAACAGCTTGGCGCTCCACCGCGTGTTCCCGCAAGATGAGAAGGACGCCGCCATCCTGCTAATGGCCATATCCTGCGGCCTTGTTCATGGCTAGCTACTTCTTAGCTTTTCAATTTTCTGCTTTTATTTCCATTCAGCAAATTATTAGTGAGTTAATTATTATTATTATGATGAATTAGTGATCGAGTTTGAGCGTGCAATTAAGGAACAGCAAAACATTATTAATCCCAGGTTTTAGTTGTTCATGAATAATATAATTATTTTAAGTTTAATTTGTGTAATTGTTAACTGTAATGATTTTGGAACATGATTATGAGGACAAGTCTTCTTTTTGTGTTGCTATTTTCAGTAATACTCTAATTATGTTAATAATAACTTTATTTAATTGGTACGTAGAGTCTAATATGTATTTAATTTATATTTAATATGAAACTAAAATCAATTGCATAAATCATAATGTGAGATTACAATATATAATCAATTGTGATTTGTGAGTACGTAGAGGTCCAAGTGTCCACAACATTCACCATTTAAAGAAACATTAAATTAATGAAGTTTAAAATAAGTTAATAATGACTTAATAATTTTTTACGTTAGTTATTAATCAAGTTTTTAGATGTTTGTTCTAAAGGCAACGTTATAAATTTAAGGCTGTTATGCTTTATATCTAAAGTTAAGGATTGAATCCTTAAGATATATTAGGTTAAGGATGAATGAATCTATCTCTCCCACTCAACCACACTCCAAATTAAATATTCTCGAGTTAATACAGTAACACTTTTACTGTTTTTTACGGTTTGATTAATTTGATCCTTTGTGAGTTGTTTGTTTCTCATCAGATTTGTCTCAGTTTCTTCCAAATCAGTCCCTTTCTCAATCTTTTTCTCTTCCCATATATAGTTACCTCCCCACAATATATATCTACCACGGTACCATTACCTCTTTTCTTTTTATAACTTTTTTTAGTTATAAGAGAAAATTTACAATCACTATTCGAAAATGTACATTCATTTTTTGTGTAACAGTTCGCAAAGTACATAAGAACATTAAAAAGGCCCTATATAACGAGTATAAGCTCAATTGATAGGGTATTGATTAAAATTGTACATATTTGATTTTGACCATCATGCTCTTTCCCTTCCCGCCACCACTTTCGAAGCATTTCTCTGGTGCTTTTCCGACTTCAATTCGTGAAACAATATCCTGGACCTCATGGACCCACCTAAAGCATATGAGGAGATAAATCAATAGCGAATTGTACTCTAGCTAGCTTATGCACAAAAGAGCAAGAAGCGAACCCCAACCTGTCCATCGAAATAAATTTTAAGTGAAGTTTTTCATCCACTAGACCAATGCCTTGAGGCACTGGTGCTTTTATCATTAGCTTTGCGATCTACAAGTTTTAGCACTTTTAATTTGAATAATAAAACATGATGGAGAAAATTGATTTCTCTATAGATAAAAATGAATGATATAGAGTACGTGTTTGCAGGGAATAAGAGAATAAGTATGACACAAAGATATAACGTGGAAATCATATAACAATAAAAATCACAGCCGCCAAGATCCACTACATATAATGTATAATATATGTACATAGGTAGCCATGGTGCATGGAGTGAAAGGGAGAGAAAATTAAAATACTTAGAATAAAGATTATTTGGAACTAAAGTGAGCCTCTCCTCCTACTTTGTTTGATTCCTGAGTCATTATATAAAGTCTTGCTAACTTCCACTAACACTAGGTCATCACATAATAATCTTTTCTTTTTTTTTTTTGTTGACTCCATCTTCTTTGACTATCCCATTCTTAATAAATAATGAAATATAATATAATGTAATATTATTCCATCAAAACCTATGGCCAAACTTTTGATTTGAATATATGTTTCTTCCTAACTAAATCATATTCTTAATAAATAATGAAATATAATATAATGTAATATTATTCCATCAAAACCTATGGCCAAACTTTTGATTTGAATATATGTTTCTTCCTAACTAAATCATAAATTAAATACAATTGTCTTACTGTCTATGTGCATGCACACACATTAAATACAGTTTCTCACTCAAATCGATCTACGAATGCATTTTTCCGTACACATATTAATTGAGAAAACAATCATTATTCAATTATTGCACTGTCATACAAATTAGCATGAGGTACAATTATCTACAGAACACCATCACGCATGTAAAACTTGTGCACTCTACTAAACTAAAATTAGGCAAAAATGTTAAATATGCTACTGAACTTTTACATATTGTGTAATTGAATTATTGAATAAAAAAATGTACAATTGGATCATTAAAAACTTAAAAATTATACAAATAATATTTTTTACATATTACTTTTAAGTTTCCCTTAAATATGATGTCATAATGTCAAATTATATATATATATATATATATATATATATACAAAATATTTTAATTATTATTTTTAAAAATCAAAAGAAAAAAAATTAAAAAAATTTCAAAAGAAGGTGGAAGTAGCCATGACTATCTCCCCCTTCATTCACATGAGACAAAGATGGCTGCTTCCACCTAGCTTCTTCTGAAATTCAAAATTGAATTCAGTCATTGTAATTTGTAAAAGATTCGTAAGTCTTGAATGCAAGAATTACCTAAATGGTTCTTACTCAATTTTAATTGAATTACTTATTTGGCTTATGTTCTGTGTCGGACACAGAGACAGATTGCCGACATAGGGGCAAATTATGCTGTGCATCCGTATGCATCATGCATGGTGCATACGGATGCAAAAACAACGTTGTTTTATTAAAAACGCGCGTCACCCCTTAAAATAAAAAATTTAGGTTCGATTCTCAGCAACAACATATGAACTAAAATTCCAGAATCGATGAACTATAATTCCATAATCTTATCTATGAACTAAAAATTCCAGAATATGAATGAACTAAAATTCCAGAATCTATGAACTAAAATTTCAGAATCGATGAACTACAATTCCAGAATCAATGAACTAAAATTCTATAATCTATGAACTAAAATTCTAGAATGAATGAACAAAATAATGCTGTTGCTGGGAATCGAACCTGAATTTTTTTTAAGGGAAAACGCGCATTTTTTATAAAACGACGTCGTTTTTGCATCTGTATACACCATGCATGGTGCATACGGATGCACAGCATAACTACTCCGACATAGGGACACAGCAAATTGTTAACGCAGTTCAGAAAAATCCTCCTAAGTATGCGAGGCCACCCAACGTAAGCCCAAATTCACTAGATGATCACCAAGATTACAGGCTTACAGGTGTTGAAAAGATCTATTCATACACACTATATATGGCATTAATCTTTCACACCAACTCAATCTTCATCATCTACTAGAGTTGGTACAAACGTGCAAACCAATAAACACTTCAACCTTCAATCACCATGATCACGTTATGTGATAGTCTTGTAGAGCCTTTAGAATAAATCGTAGATAAGAGATAATAATAAAGTAAATAGTTTTGGATAATAATCAGATTTAGTGCAACTCGATTGTTGAATTCCAGGAGGCTTTACGCCACCTTTTATAGGATATTGAATTCTTGTAACCATCATATCTGTTGAATGTTTTTATTGCATCGATCGATCTCTACTTTAAAACCTCGTCAAATATAATACTTAGCTTGTATGTATAATGATGTTCACATACAACAAAATTAATTTCATATCTCATCACCTGATGATCTGATATGAATCAAACCTTAATAATTACATCCTACGGCTAAGAATGGTTGAAAGAACGTGATGAAGGGTGTAGGGCATCTGATCTGATCTGATCTACAGCATGCAGGTGTACTAGTTGATTGTCATGGGATGGAAGAAAGTTTTGAAATTTGTAGTGTATTGTCAACCCCTGGGTGATGGGGTAGCCCTTTGAATTTGAGCAATAATTGGGCTGGCCTGCCTGGGGACTGGGGCGTGTCATTATACGCGACAACGGCTCATGATGTCGTGGTCCACACCTTCTGTTCACCGCCATTCTGCGTACGCCATTGTTTCAGATCAGACCACCCCAGGTTAGCTTTCAAAACTTATACTGTTCGTTTCCGGTAAACTTTCACGCTTCCCGGAGTACTGTATATATTCTATATTCTAATTTCGGTATATATATATATATATGCAATGCTCTACCGCTAGCTGAATCCAGATTCTTATCATTATTTTGGGATCATTGACTATGTTAAATAACTTAGTTGGCCTGAGTTACCATGCACTCTCATTCTTTAAGATAGGTTAAGACTTCAAAACCTTATATAAATAAAAAAAATTAATACGTTCAACAATCGTTATGCCATGGAACCGTATTCACCATTCATTGTGAAGTCCCAAACGGTAAGGGTGTTTACGACACCGTTATCTTCCACCAATCTTTTTTTTGTTTTTTAATTAACAGCGCCACTTTTCTTCTTCATATTCACATTTTGCGGTTTCACTTCCTCTTCGCGCAAGTTTCTTCAACACTCATAAATTATGAATGTGCAGGCATGAGGCATGGATTTATGAATGTGCAGTTATGGAATTATGAATTTTCTTTTATGAGATTACAAATTTTCTGTTATAAAATTATGAATTTCTGTTATGAGATTATAAATTTTCTGTTATGAGATTATGAATATACAGAAAATTCATAATTACATAACTGTAAATTCGTAATCTCATAACAGAAAATTCATAATTTAATACGGAGTAAATGTTTGAGATTATGAATTTTTTGTTATGAGATTATGAATTTTCTGTTATGAAATTATGAATTTTCTGTTATGTGATTATGAATGTACAGAAAATTTATAATTACACAACTATAAATTCATAATCTCATAACAGAAAATTCATAATTTAATTAATGTAAATTCATAATCTGAACATATAATGCAAAACGCCATTAACAACACATTAACTATTTTTTTTTCGATAAAAATGATGCCGTTTAGGACTGTGTTCATAAAGCATGGTGAACACGTTTCCACGGCATAATTTGCCTACGTTCAAGTGTCAAGTCATGGGCTAACCAAAAAAAATTTACAATATTCGGTGACTATATTTAATGCATAGTACTTATCTGTCGAGAGATGAAAATAATAATGAGTTATTGCTTTTGTTCATTCATTTTTCTTTACCTAATAAAATGTGTATACATGATGAAAATTATATTACATAAGAGTACATATATCATTTTCCACACTGATAAGATATTGAGTAAGGGTATTAGAAAATTGAGCATCATAGGCTTGGCGGTCCAGCAAGGGGGCCGTGGACATG